ATTTTACCTTAGCCCTCTGAATCATGTCTAAACTGTCTCAGATTCAAGTTTCTATTCCATCTGCAGAATCCAGGTCTCTGGAAGAAAAATGATTAAACTTTTTCTGTAGAGGGTAGAAATGTGTTGTTATTCAGGAATGAGGCAACAGTAAGAAACAAAGATGCAACAATAGTGGATCACTTTGACCACGACAGTGCCCCTTTCCAACTGCTGACACATCTCTTAACATCAATGTCTTTAAGGAAAAATCTGAATTTCCTCATCCATGTATAGATGTCTTTCTCAAAGACATGGGCCAGACCATGTCCACTGCCTGATATCACTACATTTTTCCTTTAGAAAGCAGAAGGCAGAAGGCACTATCTGGAGGTAATGGTGTCAATTGAACCCACATTTCACCGGGAAAATGGCATCCTCCTCCACCACTTCTTCCCCTCCTCCTTGTATTCCTCATCCTCCTAGTACTGGGCATCATCCTCCTCCTCATAGTCCTCCTTCTGGTCTTCGTCTGGTTCCACCTCCTTCTCACCCACGTCCACCTCTAGCACCCCCTCCTCCAGTTGCACCTCCTACTCCTCCTCACCTGCCCTTCCCGAGATCTCACTGTTGGGGGATCTCAAACACCATCCTTCCTTTCTCAGCTTCCCACCAATCCATTAGCCTTGGTAGGATCACTGGATGGGCCTCCTTTTGTATTAATACCACAAATGTTTCTATGAGAACTATCCTCAAGAAATGTAATTCATTTGGGTCCTGCCTCTCTCTTGGGATGGTAAGTTTGTTTAGGACCTGAGTGGAGGTGCCCAGAATCGGGTCACTCATATGAGTTGCCATGTATGGAGGCCACCTATAGCAGGCTGCTCTGAGAACAAGGCCATGCACATTGGGCTTTTTCCCATATCCCTCAAAGGGAAGCATCCTGAGTTGAGGGAGTGGGTCATGGCAGGCAGACAGGAGAATGTGCTCCAAGGCAGTGCAGAGAGACCACAAGCCCCTGAAAGGGCCAAAGAGGCACTACGGTTAGCACAACTATGCCTGGTAGGTGAGGAGAGATGGGTGAACTCACTGGATACCAGGATGAATCCAGGAGACATGGGGTGGGCAGGGACCTTGAGTGTGGCTGCTTTGGTAGCCCACTTAGGAACCTGTGGCCAGGTGGCAGTTAACGAAGTGACAGAGAGGAACTGGGGAGAGTTTCCCTCTCACTTGAACGTAGTTATCAATGGAGGCTACAGCTTCTCTCCTCCTAATTTAAGCTGCCTCAGCTCAGGTGCCTGTAAGAGATAGCCACCACTGCTGAGTCCACCACAGAGTGAGTCACTCATGGTGACTCATCAGAGCATCAGCCAATGAGGACTGTCAGAAGGGCGTTACCAGGGCGACCAGGCACACCCTCTTGGTGACCAACAACCATCCAAAAACGATGGATTTGAGGTAAATTTATCAACTGTCATTAATTTGTTTTAGGTCAGAAAAAGAGAGAGAACCATCCTAGAGAAGGTCCTAATAATCACACCGAAAATGGAACCAGACTTTGTTTGGGAATCCAATTAAGTGACCCTGCAAGAGCCCAGTGAGATTACCCGGGGAGCTACACCTCCATTCAGGCTTCCTGTTCACACTTCTGATCATAAAGATTCAAGTAGCAAAACTATCTGAAAACCCTTCACTTTGAAAAATAATTCATCACATACCACTATGCCCCCAATTTTACCTTAGCCCTCTGAATCATGTCTAAACTGTCTCAGATTCAAGTTTCTATTCCATCTGCAGAATCCAGGTCTCTGGAAGAAAAATGATTAGACTTTTTCTGTAGAGGGTAGAAATGTGTTGTTATTCAGGAATGAGGCAACAGTAAAAGAAACAAAGATGAGACAAATGTGGATCACTTGGAATAGGACAGTGCCCCTACTGAACTACTCACTCATCTCTTAACATCAATCACTAAATGTTTTGTCCTGATTTAATGAAACATATTTTCTTTTTTCTTTTTCAGTTATTGGCTGGGGCCGGGTTTGAACCAGCCATCTCTGGTATATGGGCCTGGAACCCTACTCCTTGAGCCACAGGCACCACTTCTTTCAACCTCAATCTCATTAAGGGAAAACCTGTATTTTCTCATACAAGTATAGATGTCTCCTTCAAAGACATGGGCCAGAATTCCATTGAATGGAGTTCATTGCACTCTCCCCCTCCACTTTGGCCTCCAGCAAAAGACTCATATAATGTGGGTTTATCATCTGAACAATAAAATCAATCCAGTACCCAAAATTCATAACAACAAAGAGATCTCTAGTCTAGAAACAGAAGAGAATTTGAAAAATTCATTACCTTCATGATTAAGCTCTTTGGTAACTAGAAATAGAACAAATTCCGAGACCTACTAAAAGCATTCAGTGAAAAATCTGCACCCCTACTCCCAGAAGGCAAAAGTATGTTGATATTGAAGGGAAACATTATTCAATTCTCATGAAATTGGATATAGTATTCATAAAAGGTACAATATAAAAGGAAAAATAAATTCTCCTTGCTGGAAACAAAGAAGTAAGAATTGTGTTTTGTAGATGTTGATTTTCATTTCCTTGCAAAAATGTCTAGGGATAGAATTACTCGGATAGAGAGTAAAAGTATTAACTTTATAAGAAACTGCCAGAAATCTTCCCAAGAGATTTTCACACTCCTACCTGCAATGTGTGAAGATTGTAGTTGCTCTGTGTCTTTGCAGACATCTAGTATTGATCCTTTTCATTGTAGCTGTTTCATTGTGGGCAAAATTGCACTTGTGGTTTTAATTTTTATTTCCCTGATAAATAATGTTAAGCATATTTTCATATGATTATTCCCATTCTGGTGTCTGTTGCAAAGTACCTCACATCTTTCACACAATTGCATTTTAGTTTTTCTTATTAGTGAGTTGTAAAAGTTCTCTTTATAGTCTATGAAAAGTCCTTTGTTAAATATCGTAAATATTTTGTCACAATCTCTGGTTTGCCTTTTGGTTTTTTTGTTGTTCATTTTAGAGAAAGTTTCCCTCTGTTCCCCATGCTCTAGTGTGATGGCATCATCATGACTCACTGCAACCTCAAACTTCTGGGCTCATGTGATCCTTGTGCCTCAACCTCCCACATAGCTGGGACTATAGGCATGTGCTACACACCTGGCTGATGTTTATATGTTTTGTAGAGAAGAAGTGCAGCACTATGTTGCTCAAGCTGGTCTTGAACTGCTAGCCTCAAGTGATCCTCCTTCCTGGGCCTCTCAAAGTGCTAGGATTATAGGCAGGACACACCATGTCCAGCCCCTTTTTATATTCTTATTGGAATATGCATTATGATGAATAGACATTTTACATTTTGATGAATTCCAATTTACCAATTTTTTTTTTTTTTTATGTTTTGTGCTTTTATGAGAGGGCTCTCTAAAAATTCTCTGCCTTCCTCAGGCTTTGGAGAATCTTCTGTTTTCTTCTAGAAGCTTTATTTTTTTACTTTTACATTTAGTTTTATGAAGGGATACTTATTTTAATGTAGCAATAGGAATATTATAAGGATTGGATTTAAATCTAAATCTTCCAGAAGACTGCCCACCTAAAGAGGAATAAAAACTAATTTATTTCAGGGCAGAGGCAAGATGGCTAACTGGAGCCAGCTTTCCACAGAGGTTCGTATCCAGAAGGAGAGTTAAAGGACAGAAGTATAGCAAGTAAGCTGATGGTTTGGAGCTGAGCCAAGAGAGAATGTTGAGGAATGCACATCCACCCTGCTGAGGAAAGCTGTGACCACCAAGGAAACAAACAATAGGTACAAAATCCATCACCAAGCAGACGAGATACCCCTCCCCCATGAGAACAGCTCACTGTATACTTTGTACAACAAGCAAGCAGATGGCTTCACATCAGAATTCTACCAAAGCTTTAAAGAGGAACTAGTACCTATATCACTTAATATAGCAGCATCACAGGTTACAAAAGCAACACCCATAAATCTGTAGCCTTTATATATACCAACAATAGTAGAGTTGAAAAAACAGTCAAAGACTCTATTTCACTCACAGTAGTGCCAAGGAAGATGAAATATTTGGGAGTTTCCCTAAGAAAGACCATGAAAGATCTCTGTAAAGAGAACCATGAGGTGTAATCACTAAGAAGCTGAGGCACTTGCATCTCCCAAAATGCTGGATTACCTCGGTGCCAATCAGCAGAAAACCAAAGAGGATGAGAAGGACAACGAACCCATCTGAGCTCTGGATGAGGGGGATATTGCCTTGCTGAAAACTTTCGGTCAGAGCACTTACTCTAGGCAGATCAAGCAGCTTGAGGATGATATTCAGCAACTTCTTAAGAAAATCAATGAGCTCAATGGCATTAAAGAGTCTGACACTGGCCTGGCCCCACCAGCACTCTGGGATTTGGGCACAGATAAGCAAATGCTCCAGAGTGAACAGCCTTTACAGGTTGCAAGGTGTACAAAGATAATCAATGCTGATTCAGAGGATCCAAAATACATTATCAATGCGAAGCAGTTTGCCAAGTTTGTGGTGGACCTCAGTGATCAAGTAGCATCTACTGACATTGAAGAAGAGATGAGAGTTGGCATGGACAGAAATAAATACCAAATTCACATTCCACTGCCACCTAAGATTGACCCAACAGTTACCATGATGCAGGTGGAAGAAAAGCCTGATGTCACATACAGGGATGTTGGTGGCTATAAGGAACAAATTGAGAAATTGAGAGAAGTATTTGAAACCCCACTACTTTCTCCAGAGAGATTTGTTAACCTTGGTATTGAGCCTCTCAAGGGTGTGCTGCTCTTTGGTCCCCCAGGCACAGGCAAGACACTCTGTGCTCAAGCAGTTGCTAATAGGACTGATGCTTACTTCATTCGTGTTATTGGATCCGAACTTGTACAGAAATATGTTGGTGATGGGGCTCAAATGGTTCGTGAGCTCTTTGAAATGGCCAGAACAAAAAAAGCCTGTCTTATCTTCTTTGACAAAATTGACACTATTGGAGGGGCTAGGTTTGATGATGGTGCTGGAGGTGACAATGAAGTGCAGAGAACAATGTTGGAACTAATCAATCAGCTGGATGGATTTGATACTTGAGACAATATTAAAGTGCTAATGGCAACTAATACTGACACTTTGGATCCAGCACTGACCTGACACTTTGGATCCAGCACTGATGAGGCCAGGGAGGCTGGACAGAAATAATGAATTTAGTTTACCTGATTTAGAGGGTCTAACTCACATCTTTAAGATTCACGCTTGTGTTTATCT